ATAGCATAGCAAAATAGAGCACTCTTTTCTCTATTAGACTATATAGAAAGAAAGTTTTTTTTAAGCTTACTATATGGCTATGTAACGTCGTGATCAGAACTTTTGGTACACCCTAAGTAATTCCCTACAACGGTCGGTCGTTGTATTTGCTTAGGCATGATTATCGATAATTATTAATGATTCTTTCGAACAAATGTACTTGGTTTCTTTTCATTTTCCTCTCCATCCTAACTAATAATTTACTCTTTTCGGTACTACATAAGAGACCTCTCTCGATCGAGTTGTTTTTTTTTTCAGACCAATATTTGTATTTAATCGCGAAAAAAAAGTTTCAAGAGTGTACCGTTTGTATAAATACTTCCATCATCTATAATGTTTTTTTCAGTCAAACATGTTCGTTTCTTTTTCACTGTTTGCTCTTAGTCTGATTCTTCTTATACACGAATCGACACAACAAACTTCGCTACCATATACTTTTGGCTATCGATCATCGTATAAATTTCATCAGCATGGAAACATCAATCTAATTATTTCGGCGCCTCATGGTGGTAGTGTGATGCCAACTGATGTACCAGATCGATCATCCGGTGGTTGTGGTCGTACAGCAGACCCGACTATTTTTTATTGTTCATGGAACTATAATGATACCTGCGTTGGTGCAAATCCTTGCGATGTAGGTAGTATCAGAGATGTCTTAACTGATGAGTTTGCTTCGAATGTAGCAAATGAATTAAATAACAGATGGGGATACAAACCATTTGTAATTCTTGGTGTATGGTCACGTGGAAAAGTTGAATTTAATCGACCAATTATAGAAGGAACACTGCAACAGCCTGAGTCAGCTTCTAGTTATCAAGGTTATCATTCGTTTATCAGTGACACTGTTGATCTAATCTATCAAAATTTTGGCACAGGTCTCCTGATTGATTTTCATGGACATGCAGCCTCAGTTGGAGAGTAAGTTTGTAACAAATATTGATAAATGCCTATTACTTATGAGATTTCTCATTTGATTTAGTTTTACTATGGCTGGCTATCTTTTAACCAAGAAACATCTCAGTGTAGATGATCTAAATACATTAAAAGTAATAACATCGATTGAACCATTGTGTGGCTCCGATCGTAATGAATGTATTCGTGGTCAATCTGCATTCGGTAGCAAACTCGAACAGAAAGGACTTGGCGTTGTTTATCCATCATTGGCACATCCCAAACCAGGAAATCTTACCTTTTTCGAAGGTGGCTATATCACAAGCAATTACATTTCAAAAATCAATGCCATGCAATTTGAATTACCTCCTTCCCTCAGTTCAACAAAAAATCGAACTGAATATGCCAAAAAATTTGCCGAAGTCATTGTCGAATACATGACTGAGAGAAATATACTCCGATCATTTCCAACTCGTCGATAAATTTTGAGATGAACATTCTATTACAAGAACAAAACTAATCTTTTATTTGAGATTTGCTTCTAACCACTTCAAATTTATCAATAAATTAACAATTTCAAATCTTAAGCAGGCCTCGCAGCGGTCCTTCTTTCCTTCTTTTTTATATTTCATACGAAACGATTCTCAGAAACATGGAAAAAAATGACTAGCAATACTTAGTTAGACTTTGACATTGATAGGGAGCTCTCAGAGTTCCAGAAAATGTTTTATTTACCTCAAGTTCAATGTACAGTGTGTTATACTTAGACTAAAATATGCATGTGTGGTTTCAATCTATGTGGGACACATATGCAGAACTCGAGATACGTAAAACAATGCTTCTCTAAAATACGGTTACTGTCGAAAATTTTGAACCTTTACTCTGCGACACAGCATAGCGGAAGCTGACCCATCTCACAGTCAGAGTCTTATAGCTGTCTGTGCGAATGGTCTTTCGTGGCGTATCGATGTTCAATCAAGATTGTCACATTACAGTTTAACATAACAAAAGACGCAGTTTTATTGGAGATAGAAGTAACCAGTGTGCGTGTTACCTCTTTCTCAAGAACAGGACGAGGATGGTGCTACATATCCCTGACGGCCTATTAATGGACAGATTAATCATACACGAATTTCGTGATCGCTACACAGCATGGCAATACATGTGAGTGATTCGTGTGCTGATCTGTAAGACTATCGAGAGAGCCATTGAGATATAGGGATGACAACAACATTCATGCACGTCGCACGATCAAGAAGACGACTGCTCGTCTTTGAAATTTATTTTCTGTTATTATTCGCTATAAAACCAGTGGAATTAGTGGCGTAACCAGGGTAGGTCACAGTTGGACTCAACCCAACCATCACCGATTAAAGAAAGGAGTATTTTTATTTCAAAACTGTAAAATTAATAAAACAGAACGACCCACATTGCCTTATTTCTGAGTTGATATTAATTGTATAAGTCGATTAAGTGCATTATTAAGTATCAAGTATCTGTCCATTCCCAGAAATCATGCAAATTTTAAATAGAATATCAACATTGTGTTGAGATACGGAGTATTGTTTTCAATTGAAGTAGTCAAAAAAAAGAACTCCCAGCATATATAAAAGCTGTGCTGTGTCTGTTATTTAATCAAATTTAATTTCTTAACAAAGATAAACAATTTCGACCATATACCACTCCAACACCATGTAATTTTAATTCTTTTTTTTCGAATCTCCACTCTGGCTACAACCCTTCAGTTTCCTATACATCACTCTAACTCTGATACGAAAACGTCTAAACTTCGAAGTTTATCTAAACTCGAGCTTATACTTTTCTACCTCTGATTTTGAATCGACGTTGAAAATTCAAATTCTGGAAGTATCAAAATGATCTCTAACTTGCACTATTAACTTGGACAATCGGTATTTAAAATAATAATATCATATGCCATCGGTGCTATAACTTTGTCAGTTTCGTTACCCACCTGTCAAAGAACATCTATGAAGATGAAATTAATAGAAACGAATATACTTAATACAATATTAGATATTCGTTTGAGCAATTTGTATATATTAGAAGTGAAACGTCATTCCAACGTCTCCTTAGAAGAATTCATCAACAATTTCACTGACTTGCATAAAAATAGCAGTTTTATTCAAATAAAATGCTGCGACTTTCAAATCCTGTCTCTATTGAACAAACTAAGCACAATTTTAAAAATAAAATCTGCTTTTACAGATAGATTCTTTAATGTACTTTCTCTGTATAAAAAAATGATATAGTGCATTAGTCTTAGTTAAGGTCCTAGAGTTTGTAGAGCGGTGCTCGACCACCCGACTATTTCTGGTGACGCCACTAAGGAGAATGTCCTTGAAACGTGAAAAAATAATAATTCGAAAATTATTTTACTCCTTGGACTCAGTCCTATTGTTTCTTATTGGGTGTCTTATAAAATCTATTCATTGCAGCGCACTATTCCGCAGAATTCCTTCTTTTCCTTCCTTTCCTTTTTTTATTCGAATTTCCTTCTTTTTTTTTGAAAAATTCCTTCTCAAAATCCTTCTTCTTCGTACCCACCGGCTGCGACCCCTGCAATACGACTCAATAAATCAGCAGTAGTAGCATGAAAGAACATTGGCACGGTATGAGAAGCGATCAACGAGCGGATTCTCATGGTTTGACTAGATTGAAGGTCAACCAACGACATTTTCATTGTTATCTATTTTACAGTAAATATCAACGGACAATCACAGATTGCTCTCATAACAGAAACATTCTATGCCGATTGAGAGTGTGGATGGGTGTGAGTGTAGCTATGAGTAAAGAGAAGAAATATGCACACACCCACATCATCACTATGCTATAAATCATTATAACTTTTTTGTTTAGGGCTTCTGAAAATTCGTGAATCTGATAAGGATCTTTAATCAAACAGTCCGTTTTTTATAGTACACATATACTCTTATTATATCCACCTTTATTCTATATTTATTAAAAGAACACAAAAAAATGTATAGAGTGGTTCAAAAGTAATTTTACAGAAGAAATTAAATATCTGTATCATATTTTGACTAAATGAACTGATTCTTTGACGACTGACAAAAGAATATTGATAGATCATATGTACAAGAAAAACATTGCTTCAAAATATTATCGTTAATCTCAATAAAGACTGGTTACTTTTCACGATTTATGAAAAAAGCAAGATAATAATTTCCTTAGTCAATAATAAGTTATACATATTGTTTTCTATTAATGCATCATAAAAGTGTCATTTAGTGTGAATTTTATACATTAGATACATGTATTGTTACTCATTGTATCCTAAAATTTGTAGCTAAAAATCGTAAGAATTGATTATGAAAATAGTAATATAATTTTTTCATAATTCTTGACAGATTACAGTTTTTTTTTTTTTTATTGAAGTCAATGATGATACATTTCAAAGTAATATTTTCCTTATGAATATGACTTATCAATATTTTGTTAGCAGTGATAAAATACCAGCTCATTCAATGAAAATATAACAAAGATATTCAGAATTTTTTTTTTTGTAAGAAGAATTTTGGACCATTTTCTGTATATCTCATCAGTTATTTTTGTTGTGTCTTATATAAGTTTATTATTTCTTGTTGATTTTCTTTTCTTTACTTATCTTTAGTCGTATCTGAGAAAAGATATATTTAGCTATGCAATGTTCTCTTTTCAAAACGATAATATACAAATCGATTCTCTTTTTTACGTTTTATTCTTCTTTTTTTTTTCGAAGAATATTTTTATGAAACATATTTCTTACGTCGCTCTTGCATGTTTCGTACATACATATTCATTTGCTTTTTGTCCTATAATATGAATTCAGTCATTTTTCTGATATTACTGTTTTTATTCTCTCGTTCCCATATTTTGTATTGAGAGAAGCACACGCACTAGAACTCCGTATGGGATGATTTGAGATAGACAAAATGGTGTCATGGGATAGGATACTTCTAAAAGTTACGCATTACATCTCATCCCTTCCCATGGAATGTCATATTCGCCAAATAGAATTTGAAAAGTGAAATTCAATGGTACATTTATCGAGGAGCTACATTATTTCAGTATAGAAAGCTTCAGGAAACTTTCTTTTTATATATAATGATAACAAAAACAATGTTCTATTTTTCTGTGATATTTGAGTATTCTCTAACTAATATTATAATCATAAAATATCGATAAGAGCTGTTGGTTATGATATGTGACAATAAAATTAGATTATATTGTCTTTGATGTATATTCTTCTTTTGCTTCTCTCTTTATGGATGTTGATATTCTTCTCTTTCACAGTCGCATACCTCTGCAATGCATATACACTTACATAAAGAACAAAATTTTATTTCGCTAACCCCATTGGAATAGATAAGAACACAATCTCTACGACAAAAATTGTTACATCTTTCTTTATAAAAAAAAAATGTTTATATGAGTGGCTGTTTGTCTCAGGGAATAAATGGTATAGAGCTTTCTCATCCTACGCCAAGCTCTGACATGTATAAATATTATGTCCACACCATAGACATATATACATAGAACCATTCATATTTATATCAAGTATTGTAGCACTCTTAACAGAAGTAAGTTTGATTAGTATCTCCTTCTTGTACCCGTTATAATCTCCATTCGTTATGTTAGAATAAATGAAAAAAACTGTAAAGAGGATTAGATAATTTCGGTACTTCAATATCAATGACTATCAGTCTTTTCGATACTAACTAGAAATTTATCGAATTCAAAAACAGTTGGAAGTTGGGTTTGAGTTTTGATCTCCTACCTAAGTTCACTAAACCATTTGTCTTGGAGCATAACTTCGTCCGTATCACGTCGCTTCTGTACATTTAAAATATTGCTTTTATGTAAATATAAGCAAAAAAATATTTCTATGTTTTTAGATTATCAAGTACCAAAGTCAAATTATTTGATAAATATACATACTCGATCAATATCACGTCTTCTCGTATTCATGTATTTGGGATGCTTTTCTGAGCCTTTGGTGTAAATTCTGATAATTGCTTGGATATAAAATTGATAATGTTTGTATCTTGATACCTCCTTATAGAAAACATTTGTAGGATCTAGAACAATTTTGTGATTCTAAGTTCGATCTAAAACATTATTGCAGTGATAGTTAGAAGTTGCTTTAAACAGAATGGACAACATAAGTGTATCCACAAATTCGAGGTACTCCCCTATAATAAGAGGCGCTTTCTATATATATAATCAAACAATCTAGCTAGAATAAAATTAAAAAGATACAAGCTAGAAAACCCAGTCTGACATTTGATTTTTCTAAATAATTTCTGCAGTTTATTTTTGTTTTTTGGTACTTTTGTGCCTGTTTAAATGATGTCACGAATTTCGATGAAATTTTCCGTATGTGTAGTCCTAAGTGAGATATGAAGACGCCTAAAAATTTTTCTTCAAAAACATTTTTCCTGTTGAGATATTGAAATCACAATAG